CTGGCCCCTTCTGTTTGCTAACACCTTAGTGCAGGAGTTCAGAAATAATGTTGGATCAGTGGCATTAGGGCACATAATAGTGGCTCATTAAATGTTTGTGTTTGCCCAGCTGGAGTTATTATTGTAAAATCTACTGAGTCACTGGAACTCCAGTTTTATGTGTAAGTAAGCTTATCTGAGGACAGCTAACCTGGGGTAAGGGATGTTCGCTGCTTCTTGATTTCAAATTGGATAGATCTCTCTTTGGAATGTAAAATCAAACTGCAGCAAGTGGCCTTCAAGCTGAACTCCGAATTATAAGTTGCTTCCAAATTCATGTCCATTTTACGTATTCTTTTTGTCTTAAAAGCAAATTTTTTTATTACAAATGTACTTTTATATAACAGATTCTAATAAACAGTGTATTCCTCTTTAGCATACAAACGGCTAGATGGTTCCACTGAATGCTGTAACAATCACAGCCTCACAGATGTGTGCTTTTCCTACAGAAATAATTTTAATAAGCGTTTGGTAAGTTGTCCCTGAGGCAGTCTTTCTTGTCTGATAATTACTACAAAATAAGCATATAGAGCTAAAATGGAATCTATGAAAACTTCTCCCTTTTTTTCTATTTACTTTGTATCATTTTATTAAAAATCTCTGTATTTCAGATGTCATGTTGCCTCTGAGAATCTTTAAAAATTTATAGTGGTAGTATCTTATTTGGCCAAAGTGGGATACTTGAATCTACTTTATAGTAGGTATACATAAATAGCATTTCTTTTATATAAACTTCATTCCTAATATGCTAGGTGACATGAAAAATATTGAAGGAATATAACTTAGAGTTTTCTTGTTAATAAATCATTTTTAATATTGACTAAGTGATATTTTATTTACAGCATACATGTCTACCTGCCCGGAAAGCACTTGAAGCCACCCAAGTTTGTAGAACCAATAAAGATTGTAAAAAAAGCTCAAGTTTCTGTATAATACCTTCTTTGGAAACTCACACTCGCTTAATAAAAGTGAAACACCCACCTCAAATCGATATGTTGTATGTAGGACATCCTCTGCATCTTCACTACACAGGTGGGTATTATTGTGGTAGACCATTAGAAAATCGTTAATATCACATATATTCTTAGTGGTAGAAACTCAGTACAAATCCTTGCATTAATTTTATTTATTATAAATTTGATCACTTATCAAAAGTCTTGTTAACTTGTTCTTAAGTATGAAATTTAGGCAGTAGGAAGATAATCTAAATTTATAAAGTAAGGAAGAACTGAATTCCGTGCCTGCCTATGGAGAGTGACATTTTTCCTTCCCTACTATTTATATATACCCAATTCAAATACATGATCTCTCAGGTGGTCTCTGAGAGTTTATTAAATTTATCCAAGCTCCCCAAAACAGTGGCAAGATCAGCATACCCTAGACAATGCCAGGATGCATAGGGATGTGACTATAAAGTAATTTATGCATGACATATGAATTTTATATGATTATAATTTCAAAACTGGGCCAGCATGATCATTTCATCAGTGGCAGCATGATTGGACTAAGTATGTAGCTTTGCCGTATGGCTGAAGATCATATAATGTAACTCATTTTGTTGTACAAGATTTATGTTACTTTTTTGTAACAGTTTGCCATACAATTCACCCATTTAAAGTGTGCAATTCAGTGTTTTTTAATATCTTCAGAATTGTGCAACCATCGACACAATCTAGTTCCAGAACATTTTCATCACCCTAAAGAGAAACCTCACTCCCTATATCTCCTCAATACCCGCTAGCCCTTGGCAACCACTAATCTATTTCTCGTTTCTATAAATTTGCCTATTCTGGACATTTCATATAAGTGGAATATTTTGTGACTGGCTTCTTTCATGTAGCATAATGTTTTTAAGGTTCATCCATGTAATAGCATGAATCAGTACTTCATACCTTTTAGGGCCAAATGATATTCCATTGTATAGATAGACCACATTTTCTTTATTCATTTATCAGTTAATGGATATGTTGGTTTTATGTTACTCTTTAAAAAGCTCTCTCATTGCTCTATAGTCTTATCCTGAGATATAATCTGGGTCATTTTTCTTATTTATTAGTTTGACACTAAGTGACTCTAGACTGCAGCTATTAAATAAAACCTCAACAGATGAAGAAATGTCCCCAGTTGGGGTGATTCAGAAATGTGAACTATGGATTCCACCTAATTATAGGATAGTTTTTAAATGTTTTGAACAAAAACAGGATTATGGAATCCACAGAATAGAAGAGACTTTAAAAATCCCCTCATCTTAATTTTTGTTTTAGCAATGCAGAAAAAATCTAAGACCAGAAAGAGGTTAAGTAGCATAATAGCTGGAGTAAATGTGTGATTTTAAAGTTGTGCCTCTTTGAAAGGGTAAAGACTCTTTTGATGTAAATTATAGTGTATTTTTTCAAGTCAGTCTCTGTATTTGGTTGTCATATTTGGTATATAGTCCACTTTGTCTTATTCTTGCCTCAAAATGTGAGTACACACTGGAACATGAATTTTTTCATTCCACTATTTTTATTAGATGTTCCAGAAGAATCAATTGCTTTTATATATGAGGCATATAGCCTGCTTGCATATATTTAGGAAGGGCTTTCTCAATCAATTTAATTGTTTAGCCCAATTTTTGACCATATGGTAAAATTCATAATGCTGTTGCTTGTCTGGTATGAATAATATTCATTATTCCTTGTTTTTCTTTTTTAGTGAGCATCACCAGTTTTATCCCACGTTTCAACTTTCTCAGCATAGATCTGCCAGTGATTGTGGAGACATTTGTCAAGTATCCTTTCTGGTGTGAAAAAGGTTTTGAAAGTGTGTTACTTGGAGCTTGATCCCTTTTACATTGAACAGAGCATTATAAGTATAGACCTTACAAGTGTCACTTAATTGCTAACAACTAAAAAAGAGACTTTAAAGTTAAAAGAGATCAGATTGTACCAACTAGGAGGGAAGAAGTCAGAGGAGAAAGATTAGTCAGGGAGGGTGAAAGGTTAAGATGTGGAAAGGAAGGAGCCCAGAATACAAATTGAGAATTAAATTTATGGGTCTAAAACCTTTTATTAAGTTTATAAAGGATGAAAGTTTCAGTTACTAGTGAGGTGATGAATTCTGCCCCATCTGAGCCTGTTAATTCTGACCAAATGGAGGATGACTCTTATATGCATAATCAGGAATTATGTAAATCCATTCCACTGGTTCCTGGGAGGAATGCCTAAGGAAGACCAAGCCGGTTTCTACTACTAAAATAGCAATTCAGAGAACAAAATCGCATGCAGTCTTTAGCATATTATGTTTTCATATAAAAATGAAATTTTAGGCCCGGCGCAGTGGCTCACGCCTGTAATCCTAACACTCTGGGAGGCCGAGGCAGGCGGATCATTCGAGCTCAGGAGTTCGAGACCAGCCTGAGCAAGAGCCAGACCCCGTCTCTACTAAAAATAGAAAGAAATTAGCCAAACAACTAAAAATACATAGAAAAAAATAAGCTGGGCATGGTGGCACCTGTAGTCCCAGCTACTCGGGAGGCTGAGGCAGGAGGATCGCTTGAGCCCAGGAGTTTGAGGTTGCTGTGAGCTAGG